AAAAAAAAAAAAAAAAGGAATATGGTTCCAAACATACAATAAAGCTCCCTGTGGCTATAGGGACCCTTGCCTTCTTTTTCTTGCTACTTGAGGTTGAGGCACCTTCACCTTCCTGTTTCTTTCTCTTGTTTACACCCTGGAACCAAAAAAATAGTTTTAAAGCATGTTCCTTCAAGCATCCACTAAATTCATAGGGGAGAAATATAGTTTCAAAGGGAAAAATATCCTCAATCACCAACTAAATTATAAAAAAAAAGAGCATATATTTTTACCAACCAAAAGTAATCATACTTACACTGATTTTCACTCTTGCACTTGCACTCTCATTTCTACCTTCTTCATTGTTATATGGGCATGTTCTCCGATTGTGCCCTTTATTGCCACATACCTTGCATGTCATTTTTCTCCCTTTTCCAGTAAGCTTCCTAAGCTTCCCTTTCTTGATCTTTTGTGGTTCACCTTTATGTCTTCTTCTCTTTCTCCTCGGCCTCCTTAGCATGCTCTTAACAGGTGGTGGTAACAACTCTTCTTCACCCACAGCCTTCCATGCTTTTGTCCCTTTCCTTATGCATTGAAGAGGGTATGCATAGGCAGCCAAATATTTTTCTTTCTTATAAATATCTGAAATGTAGTGCTCTACTCTCCACCTTTTGTACCTTATGCAAGCCAAAGCATGAGGGCAAGGAAACCCTGAGAGTTGCCAATATCTACATGTGCAAGTTTTGTCATTAAATTTGACAACATGCTGATCCCCACTATCATTGACCTCAAACTCATTAACCCCATTTGGCTGCACACTACATCCTTGTGACTTTGCCTTCAGTTCCTCAAGCTTTTTTCTGATTCTAGGAGCAATGTCATCACCTTCAGGCCATTTTTTTGCAAACAACCTTTTATCAGCTATCCTAACCATCAGCTGATCCCTAATATCATCATTCATTGCAATTATCGCCTTACACCTTGCCCCTAGTATCCAAGAGTTGAAAGTTTCAGAAATGTTGTTGTCAATTGAATCACATTTACAATTATCCTGGATAAATGCTTTGCACCAATGCTTTCTAGGGTACACTAACAAGTCATCAAGTCCTTACCTATTCTTTGCAAACAAATCACCTAACTTATCAGTGAAATCATCCTGAAATGTTACCTTTGCACAATTCCAGAAGCAGATCTTCATCTCATCACCTCTATGACCCAACTTTGCCCAATTGCAATAAATATGTCTTGCACAGTGCCTATGCTCAACCTTCGGTAATATTAACTCTACAGTGGATAATATAGCCTATACCAATAATTAAAACCAATAACAGCAACAATAAGTAATTTTACAACAATTAACATAAAGTATTAATAATTAAAAATAATCAATGCATGTAAATAATTGAATAAAATCTATTGATGTGTTCACCTGATGTTCATCTGACATAACTGTTATGCCCGCACCATTGCCATGATCTAAATCAGTTTTTAGTAGTTCAAAGAACCGCTGCCATGACTCAAGACATTCAGACTCCACTACTACCCAGGCAATTGGAAACATCTAGTTGTTCCCATCCTTCCCAATTGCAGATAGCATAATTCCCTTACATATTCCCTTCAAGAAACAGCCATCAACACCAAAGAACCTTCTGCACCCATCCTTCCAACCTTGCTTTAGGGAATGCAGACAAACATACATTTTATGGAAAGTTATAGTATCACTAGAACTTGTTTCAATGGTAGTGACAACAGCAGTATTCTCTGGATGGCTATCCCTCAATATTTTGGCATAGCTCTTCAAGTATTTGTATTTACCAACATAGCTACCCTCCAGTTGTGTCATAACATGCTTTTTTGCCTTTTTTGCCTTGTCAAGTGTGATGTTCACTTTAATTTCAGTCTTGCACCACTTAACAATCTCGGCTGGCTTTGTAAATGGTGCTTCATAAATCCTTCCTTTAAAAAGATCTGCTACAACCGTGTAAGTTACAAGCTCATTGTCATAAGATTTGAAGCATCTATGCTCCCTATAGTATGTCTTCACCACAAAACACTCATATCTTGGGTCATAAGAAGCAAACAACTACCATTTGCACCTTGTTTGGCATCTGAACCTCACCCTAGTACGTTCATTTCTGACCTTTCGCAGTTGAGCTTGTTTTTGTATGGAGTATTTACAAACTACCATTCTGAATTGCTTTGCATCTTTGAACCTCATCCCAATATCAAATATGGGACCTTTCATTTTGGGTTATAGTAGGTTTGACAGACATTTCTGCTAACAACATGATCTGGTTGCACAAAGATGTCATCCTCATCATCTAAATTCCAATGAAATTTCCAAGCACCAGGATCATCACTGTTTGCATAATCAGACTCCCTATCTTCTTCATCTGTAAAGGAACCACTGTGATCACTGACAGGCAGTCGCTGCGTGCTGTCAATTGGATCACCTTTTCTCACCCTATTCCCATCACCTTGTCTAACTTTATGCTGAGAAACAGATTTCTTTTTTCTACCTTTACTGCATATTTCCCTTGCAGTTTCTTCTATACTAGCAGCATCTGTCACAGTAGCTTCTTGGACAGTAGCTTGTTGCTGGACAGATGGTTGCTCTTGAGTGACTACAGGTTCTTCAACATGATCATCTTCTTGCTCATTCCTAGTTGTACCATGCATTGCTGCCTTAGACTTCTTTCTACTACTTCTTATGGCATTTCTCCTTCTCTTCCTAACCTCCTGAGCCAACTCAGCAATACTGACTTGCTCATCATCAGTTTTGTCACTCCCCAATGACCATGCACTATCATCTGAACTTGTCTCCCAGTCAATAACTGACACATCATCACTACCATTATCGACATCACTACTTTTTTCACTTCCTAAATTACCCTCATCCCCATGCACAAAAACATCACTACCACTATTGTTACCCTCATCTTTGGAAACATCCCCTGTGAGCAATAGTGGACCCTCAACAATCTCAGGTATATTGATGTCATGGTCTACATACAACTCCACATTGCCAACATATGAAATTATATCATTCATCTCCCTAATTGCACTGTTTGAATTACAAGAAACTAATCCATCTAGCATATCCATCGAAGGTTGCATAAAGTAAATGTCTTTAATTGAAACTCGATCATAACCTTGTCTAACAACATAGTCAGTAATCATAAATGAATTCAACCTATCCGTATCACATGGAACATCCTCTCGAACACCCCCTACATATCTAAATGGTGGTCCCTATACAAAATGCCCACCGTAGTTGAACCATATAATACCTCCACTTGGGTCCCCAATTACTGTACAACAAATAAATTAATATCATTAAGGTATTACTTCATTAATTAAACTAACATAATAAGACAACACAAAGCACAAAGAAGGAAACATCTTCCAATAACATGAGACACTGACACTACTAAAAATTTGTCTTTTTTCAACCAACTATTTTCCAGCGCAATTTACGTTGGAAAATAGTATATTATTTTCCAACGCCAAGCGCTAGAAATTAAAATTTTGTTTAAAATATCTAAGATCCATAAATAATTTTCAAGTGAAAGCGTCATAATTTGGTTTGGCGCCTTCTTATTTTCCAGCGCACTATGCTGGAAAATAATGTTTTTAATGTTACTGTTGACAAAAAAAATTTTTCAAAAATCAAAAAAATATTTTTCACGTTTTTTTCCAACGCAACGCACTGGAAAATGTTTAGAATCGTCAAAATTAAACGGTAGAAATGGGTGCAGTTTATCTTCTAGCGCCTTGCACTGGAAAATACACCTGTGTATTTGGTTCAGCTTATTTTCCAATGCATTGCGCTAGAAAATAGTAGTGTCCATTTGGTGCAGATTATTTTCTAGTGCAGTGCGCTGGAAAATAGTTGTATCCATTTGGTTTAAATTGGTTCAGGTTATTTTCCACCGCAGTGCGCTGGAAAATAATAGTGCCCATATGTTGCAGATTATTTTCCAGTGCAGTGTGCTGGAAAATAGTAGTATCCATTTGGTCTAGATTGGTTCAAATTATTTTCCACTGCAATGCGTTGGACAATAGTAGTGCCCATTTGGTTCAGATTATTGCCTATGTATTTGGTCAGGTTATTTTCCAATGTAATGCAGTAAAAAATAAGTTTATCTGAAATTTAAAATTTAACGTTCAAGCGCCATTTTTTCCTTATAAAATTTTTAAAATTCCGCCCACATTATTTTCCAAGGCGATGCACTGGAAAATGAGTTTATGTAAAATTTAAAATCCAACGTTCAAACGCCATTTTTTCCTTATAAAATTTTCAAAATCTCGCCCACATTATTTTCCAGCACATTGCGCTGGAAAATAATACTTATCTATATAAACCTTCCCTTAGCATTTTCTCCTATCTTCTTCTTTCTTCTCTTTCATTTTTCTCATCCTTTATCTGAATTCACTTTCTTTTTTCTCCTCTCTTCCTTTACCCCACTCATATATTTCACTTTCTCATCTTAATCATCCCTTTCCTCTTCTCTCCATTTCCTC